CCCCTTTCGCCGCGAGGCTCTGTGCCTGCTCCCTCCTTCCCTCCTTTTCTTGCTGCTTTTTTTTCCCCCTTTCCTTCGCCCAGAAGATTAGCTGTAAATTATAAACACTGTAATCTAGTGTCAGCACCCGGCTCCCTGATTAAAGGGCCCATTAGACTCAATCAGTGCTTTGTTTGTTCAGCGCTGATTAGAAAACAAGCGGCTTCGAGCGCTGCCTGGAATCTGGCCACGGCCAGGACCTCTGGCCGCTGGGGCTTGGCTCTGGAGCTCAGGACTGGGGACAGGCTTGGGGTCCCCCTGCACTGGGGAGGAACCTCCTCAGGGCTGCCCAGTCAGTGCTGCTCATCCAAAGTCCATTAGGAGCATTAATTAAGTGGTGGGCGCTGGCGGGCGAGGCAGGAGGTCCCCCCAGGCACAGTCTGGTCAGGATAATCTCATTTATGGCCCCAAGGCTCCCTCAGATTAAACATTTACTCCGAATTACCCCAGCCATGTGCAGGGATGCACTCAGCCAGCTGGGTTTAACCCTTCCAGCATCCTTCTTCCTCCAGGATGGGCACCAGGAATGAGGGCTCCAGGGGACCCTGAGGTTTGGGAGCCACCAATTGGGGTGCTGGGAGCTGGTGGGGCCTCAGGGCATCCCACAGAGGTTAAATTCTGCTGGGCCACAGACATATGGAGGCACTAAGAGGAGATTAGCTGGGCCAGCTGGCCGTGGGGTGACGGGTGGAGGCGGCCACGGTGCTGCAGGATGATGCTGGTTGTCAGAGCTGGTGTTCATGGTGGGGCTGGCACTGGACTAGTGCCAGGGCTGGAGCTGGTGCCAGAGTCACCAGCAGTGCAAGAGCTGCTGCCACAGCCAGCTCCTGCCACCCTGTGCATCCCAGTGAGGTCCCACAATGCAGCCAGTGCCAGAGCCATGCGCCCCATGGGCAGCATCACTACCACTGCGCTGCAGCACAGCCCATTGTCATCTCCCCGTGTGCCCCCCAAGGCAGGGGGCAGCCGGGTCATGCCCCCCACGACCCCCATGATGTGCAGGATGAGGGGTGAACCCTGTGCTCACCCCACTCTCTCCCACAGGCATCGTGGAGGAGTACCGTCCACCCTTCTTCGACGCCGTCCCCAGCGACCCCAGCTTCGAGGACATGAAGAAGGTGGTGTGTGTGGACCAGCAGACCCCTGTGATCCCCAACCGCCTCTTCTCCGACCCGGTGAGTCCTGGAGGGCTGCTCCCCTCCCACCCCTTTGCTTCCCATTAAACCCTTCCATTTATCCCTCTTTCTCTGCCTCCCCAGGTTCTGTCGGCGCTGGCAAAAATCATGAAGGAGTGCTGGTACCAGAGCCCCTCGGCTCGCCTCACCGCCCTGCGCATTAAAAAGACGCTGAAGAAGCTGAACAATTCCCTGGAAAAGCCCAAGCCGGAGCAGTGAGCGCTGGGAACACGCCGGAGCCGTTCACGCTGCACTGGGGACGGCGCCAAGGGAACGCGCCGGAGCCGCTCACACGCTGCACTGGGGACGGCGCCAAACCAGCGCTGGGATAGCTCTGGTCACGAAGGGGTTTGCTCGCAGCCCCCGCTTCTCCCACCCCTCCCTCGGAGCCGTTTGGATTTGCAAGGAGGGAAAAAAAATAGGAAAAAAAAAAAAAGCCAAGGAGGA